GCGGCGGAGGCCGGAGCAGCCGAGCCGGAGCCGGAGCCCGAGCGCGGCCGCCGCCTGCCGGGCCTCCCCTCGCCGCGGCCGGCCGCCGCGCTCCCGCCCGGGCGCCCAGCTATGTACTCCCCGTACTGCCTCACCCAGGTACCGGCCGCCGCCCCCGCGCGATCGGGGGAGGGGAGCGGGCGCGGGAGGCCGGCCGGTGGCGTGGGCGGGCGGAGGGGGTGCGCTGCGCCCGGGGGGAGTGAGCCCGTGGGCCACCGAGGGGTGCAAGCTGTGCGGCAGGGAGTCCGGGCACGCGTGCGGGCGTCACCATGCGCGTGCGACCCTGGTCACCGGGCGGACTCCTGGTGGGGGATCCGGGGGCGGCCAGCTGCGTCGTGGCGCTGCCCCTGGAGCGCAGGCGGGAGTGCGATTGCCAGTGCGAGTGTGTGTGTGTGTGTGAGCGCTTGAATAGGGTGCGGTGGGCAGCGGGGACTCCGGCCGACCAGTGGGCGACTGTACCATGCACCCGAGCAGTGTGGCCGCTGGCAGTGTTTGCGAGGGTGACAGAGTGGCAGGAGGGTGGTCCCGAGGGCGCAGAGGGGACACTGGGTCCCGCGGCGCTCCCTGTGACGGGCGCAGCAGTTCCCGAGGGTGGCAGTGGCCGGCGTGCGTGGCGGCGACCCTTGCGTGCGGCTGGGGTGCCCGGGGCGGGCCGAGCGGCCCGGGCGTCTCCCCAAAGTCTTTGTTCAGGCCTCGCATGGGAGCGGGGCTAAGAAAATGGCGGGGCTCCCAAATTTCGGAGGGGCAGGGGAGGGGAGAGAGGGGCGGGCGTGCTGCCAGCCGGGGCCGCGCCTCTCCGACCCTGGACGTCCTAGCTGTGGGTACCCCCCCAACAAACTTTTCTAGGCGCAAACTTTCTGGCCCCAGCGACCCGGGCTGCTGCAGAGTGGACCCAGCAGCCCTGGGGAATCCCGTCCCGCCGCCGAGAAGCGGGAGGGGCAGGAGGCAGCTGTGGACACTGCCGATTTTGCTTGGGCCACGCCGTCGGGTCAGCCGCGGGCACAACAGCGCCGACCTTGGCGCGCTGCTAGAGCGCGTCCCGCCTCCAGCGAAGTTCCCTGCGCTGCGAGCAGCGGCGGCAAAGGCCGGGAGGCTGCCTGTCCTGACACCCCGCTCTGTGTGGGCCACGGTCTGAGGCTCTTAGAGGGCACAGGAGCTGCCCAGAATCCCACAGTGGCCGTGGCAGTGCTGCCCGCAGGGCCAGGCCACAGCTGGTAACACAGTCTCCGTAGAGGGGACACTGGGGTTTGCTCAGCCCTGCGTGCCAGCCAGGCCTGCATGCTGAGGTTCTCTAGGGCAGGCCCTAACTGTTCCCTCTGCCCAGCCTGAGCCCTGCCAGCCATGTGCCAAGTGTGCCCGCAGCTTAGAGTGGAAGTCCACATGGATACGGCTGCTACTCAGGCTGGGGTGTGCCTGAGCATGCATGGGTGTCAAGGGGCTGGAGGGTCCAGTATGTGTTCAGTATGTGTCAGCTGTGGCCACACCACACTCTCGTATGCACAGATGTGAATGTATGTGCATATGAGTCAATCTGGAGTCTGCATGTGGCCCCTGCGGGTCAGCCGTGGGCAGGCCTGCGTGGCATGGCTGTGTGTATGGCCCAGGGATTGGGTTTTCCTGTGGAAAGCGGCCCTGAGTATGTGTCCGCGAGGGCGCAGATGCATGTGGACGTGTCGCAGCGTGCATGCAGGTGTGAGCAGGCACTATGACCACCATGGCATAGTGTGGGAGACCCCCACATCTATGCCTCCGACTCCATGATTATGTTGGGCCCCCACATGATGACCCTGTCCACTCAACTGGGTTTGAGCTCTGGCTGCCTTTGGGGCTAGCCTGGGCTGGCCTGCAGGGCCAGTGTTTGGGGCCTAGACCCCATGCTCAAGCAGCGCCTTGCCCACCAGGCTGCCAGCCCGGCTCCCCAAGCAAGCACGCCAGACATCTGGGCCTGCTCCCCAGTGGCTTGGGCGAGACAACCGCCCCTTAGATTTCACAGCACCCTGGGAGAGAAAATGCCGCCAATACCCTGGAGACAAGGCTAGGAAGAGGCCAGGGTGGTCCCCAGACCCAGGGTGATGGCCGTGGGGCTTGGCTCTGTGATACCCCAAAAGGGAGTAAGGGCTCGGATCTGTGTGAGCTGCAGATCCAGGCTACGACAGCTCGAGTGTGCCAGGGTGGCTGTGGAGAGGAGTGGGCACAGTCTTGCCAGGCTGCCAGCCCTGCGCGGTGGGCAGGGAAACCCCTCGGCTCTGGGCAGGCGGCTGCTGTCAGCGGGTCAGCAGGGTCTGGCTTGCCCCTTCCCGACAGCCACATCTCTGTTTTTACAAATCTTTCTGCTTCCATAGCTTGCCCGACTGGTCTCTGTTTTTCTGACAACCTCTTTCGTTCACTGTCTTTTTCTCTTGTCTGTTTCTCTCCGTCTCTGGCTTGTTGTTGACCCTTTTCGGTCTCTCTTTCTCCATCTCTGGGCTTCTATATCTCTCTGGTTCTGGCCCGTCTCTGTTCCCTCCTCTCCTGGCGTCTCGGACTCTCTCTCTGGCCTGGCGCTCTCTCCTTCTCTCTCCCTTTTCTTTTTTTCAGACCAGAATTGGCTTCGATTTTAAAGTCAATAAATGATTGAGCAGGAACGAGCTTGGAGCAGCGGGGCCCTGGCGGGGAAAGGCACTGTGGGCGAGGGGGAAGGGTGGGGGGAAAATCTCCTTCTAGAAAAAGCATCGAAATCCAGGGCGTCCGGGTGGGGTGGTTGCTGGAGCTACTCGAGCCCATTGCAGCCACAGGCCTGAGTCCTAGGTGGAGAGAGAGAGGGGGTGGATGGATGGGACCCCCCAACAAGCAGACACATGCTAGGATGTGGACACGTGCACACACCACCGCAGCGCCAAGATGGAAACAAAAGGTCTTGCTCATACAGATGTCCGGACACATGACCATTGACGGACCTATGGACCTATGGACACAGGAAACCATGGAATTTTGTTCACCCACCACAACACACACACACCCTTAACATACATGCACGCCTTGCGATGGGACACGCGTATTGATGTAGACTCAGAGACACCGCAATACCTCCCAGACACATGGCTACTGATACATACATGAACACAGGAAACTGTGGACCCGTGTTCACAACCACCCCTGACACACACATAAACACACACACCCCTTGAGACAGGACACAGACATCGATTTAGGCTTATGGAGACAGCGACACCTCCCAGACTCACAGAGCCCTCAACACACACTCGGACAGGCAGACTCAAATGTGGGTTCACCCCCACCCATGCTCAAGGATGGACAGACGGATGGACACACACCTTCGTCACAGAAGAGATGCAGTGCTGTTGGTTCGTCCAAGTGTGTACATAGATACCTTCTCAACACACGCACACACACCCAGTGCACCAATGCATGTTCCCCCCTCATCAACACACAAACGTGCAGACACGTGCTGACACACACAAAGACATACATGGGCACGTACGCAGATACACTCACCCTCAGGCACACACCTATCCATGCCGACCCTGACACACAAACAGCGGGATATTCGTGTACTCTTGTTTTCTCACAGTCCCCTGCCCAAACTCCTTCCAGGGGAGGAGCATGGCCAGGGCCTCTCAGATGCCTGCTCTCTCTCTGGGTCACTGTGGTCACCCCTCTGTCTCTGCGCCAGCCTGGTTGGTGCCCCCTTTTAATGGTGCATTTTCTCTCCAGCTCTGGCCCTGCCTACCTCATGCACACCGCTGGGCTGGGGGTTGTGTGGGCATGAGCCAGGATGGGGTAGGCCACAGTTGGGGCTGGGTTGGGACTCCAGGAGATGTCTTGATGCGGGGCCAGGCAGAGTTTGGAGCCCAGGGCTCTGCTGGGGGCTGGAACGTCTTGTGTAGCTTCGAGGGCCCCCAGACAGAGGCTGTGCGAGCTGAAGTCAAGGGCTAGGCTCCGCCGAAAGACAGCACCGGGTTTGAGCTGCAGCTGTGCGTTTTCTAATCCCATGACTTGCAGCACAGCGTTTTCCTGGTCTGTAAAATGGGCACCAACGGTGTCTATCTCTTGGGCCATGATTAGGCTCCAAATAATGCCTGGCACAGGGCATAGTGTGTGCTCGAGAAATGATAGTTATTGTCATTTTGTTTGTCATCCTCTCAGACCCTCTCAACTGGAAGAAGGATGCTTCTGAGGGGTAGAAGACAGGTTCGAGCACCTCCTAACCCTAGAAATCCAAGTGGACTGCCTAAAGGAGGAGGCAAGAGAAGAGTCTGGAAGGATGTGGGCTAACTCATGGCTGGGCTTCTTTCCCTTAGGTGGGGTCCTGTGGGCCAAGCAGAGGGTAGAGAGAGATGATGGTAGGGTGGGGTGGGGCAGGGGACAGGAGGGAAGAGACAAGGTCCACACTGTCCCGTGGGGACCGGGTGTCCTTGGGGGCTCTGAGTCCTGGTACAGGGGTACGTGTGCACACATGTATCCAAATGTGAGTGGGGCAGAGCCTGGAGACCGGCTGTGTGCCGATGGTGGCTTCAGGGATGTTCCCAAAGCTCTAGAGCTGCTTCTGCGTCTGCACCTGGGCGTTGTCACCTGGACACACCATGGGGACAGGACGCATGTGTGGGCTGGATGGATCAAGGGGCACTGTGGGGTGGGTACAGGGGCCGGGCGTGCAGCCGTGGCTGCTGGTGAAATCTCCTGGTGGTCAGTGTCTGACCGCCAGCCTACACATCCAGCCACGGAGATCCTGTCCCCTGCTCATGAAGCTCGAATTTGGGGTCTAGCTTGTTCCTCCAGCTGGACCAAAGAAGGCAGGGGGCCGGGCACCTGCCCTTTCCTCCAACACGGTGCTGAGGACAGGGCTTCTGTCCATCCCCCCCAGCTGGGGTGGGGGACGGAGGGGGTGTCTTCACTTTCCTGCCCCCAAAGCCCTGGATGTGGGGATGGGGCACAGGGGGACGGCTGTGAGTGGCTACCTGGGTTCTCCCAGATCTGCCTGCGTGTTAATTATCTTGTCCGGCCTCAGAGCGACCGTGTTCCTGCAGGTATCTGTGTGGCCGTGTGTCCCTTTCATATGTCTCCGAGTGTCTGTCACCAGGCACTGCCTGCATGTGACT